GCATACGCGTAGAAGCCTGTATGCCAATAGAGACCGTCCAATTCGGTCCAGTCAACGACGGGTTAATACAAATAACAACCTTGTTACCCTGTGTTAAATTGTAGGTTGAGCCTTACTAGTTCACACGCCAACTGAACTAACCGGTATCTTCACATTGCTTATTCTCTCACACTACTTTGTCTACTTTGATGTCACTCTTTTTCTGATCCACCTGTTCTTTGTGCGCTTCTGTGAAGTGTGGCAACTTGAACCGATGCACCTGTGTGCAAGGTTGCACGTTGAGTTTGTCTGTCAGTCCTATGATCAAATGCATTCGTTTCGATATTAGATAATATTGATGAAATTGTTGCATCTTTTATCCATCTGAAATCATTTTACAACTGACAATTTTTAAAATGTATTGAGCAAATATATCACATTTCTCAGAAAAACTTCGTCTTTTTATGACACTACACAAACTCACCAAGGGGACCGATTTGTTCAAAATGGGCAACTTTGCCGATGATTCATAGATTCATAAAAATCGTATGCTCAAAAACTATCTCACAAAAGTAGGTTAAAAAAAATTCGCAAACTCAACTTACCACTAACTGACGAGATAATTTGTATTCTTTCGTGATTAGATTAATATTCTCAACTAATCCTGTTTCATAACACCATTTTATTTGAAGATTTTCTTTAACGTAAACAGCATCCATGCGAAGTGACACGAGAAGTTGATCAATATGGTTTTGCTATAGTACAATTTTCAATGTTCAATAAATAAGGGAATATACATAATGTTGAGAATGTGACATGTTTTTAAGAAAAATTGATATTTTGTTTCGAAAATTATGTAGTTGATAATTATATCCAAACTGACAAAAAGTTAAATGAAGTAATCTGCAGATTATTCGACAACTCATTCTGTCAACCACAAAGTACATTCCAGTTCGCTTTAAGATTATAAGACAGTCGTTATCACCAAGATACTAACTAAGCTTACTGATATCAAATGACTACCTCGTTTCGCAGTACCAACTATTATAGAATCAATGGATTAGTAGTTTCAAGTTAAAACACACAGCTCTAAGAATGTAGTGCATAATAATCCACAATATAGTGTTATTAAAACTACTTTCATACGTGCATGTTGGTCATTTATAGCAAAAGGAAATATCCTTAAAATTGTTAAAGGTGTAAAATAGGCATCCGAACATATGATGTTCATGCACAAAAATAAAATATGAAGTATTTCACTAAATATCGAAATTTCCTCAACCAACACGTAAGAACTTCATAAGTGATTTGTAGATCGTTTAAGTATAGGTAAACCATAATCAGTAAAAATAATCATTTCATAAGTTAGTTTTAAAATGAATTAAAGGGCATACCGCTAAATCTCTACAAAAAAGGGCCTCTTCTTTAGATATCGATTTTACTTTACCTGTTGTCATACTTGCAGAAATAGCCTAAAAAGAAAGAATAATAAGCTTGAATTAAAAAACTGACAGCGAATTGATGTGAGTTAGCTAATATCTGTCAACTTAGATCAGAGTTGGATTATTCAGTGTGCACAGATAAGATTAGATCTTGATGAACCTAGGTAAATTGAATGATTTGCATGTAAATACATATCAGAAGGATACCATGTATCTGCAGAATCCTTTTCGATTTGAAGACATATGATCGATAACAAAGTGTATTACATTAGATTAACCAATTGCAGTCAGTGAATGATGCCGAAACTAACGTTTAGAAAAGCGTCACTAGCTAAAAACCAGTGTACTCATATAATGAAAACTGTTCTGAACATGTGAATACAGTGTTCCAATTTTGAATCACTCCGGATTAAAGGGTAAACAGTTCGACGGTGACCTAAACTAGGGGAAAATAGTTACGTAACTGTAACGTTGAGCGATATCTCTAAATTAATGTTGGCTACTAATTAGATTACTTCCACCAATCAAGCCGTCAGTTCACGATTGATATTATTAATATTCTAAGTTCAAAAGTAATTTGACTTCAGTTTACAAAAGCTTTACAGTAATGCACTACAGAATTTTTTCTTTGAAATAGCACTAAAGAGTAGCTGTGTAAAGTATCTTCGTAGACTGTTCAGGTTTAAAATGATTAACTGATTGCGTATCTCCTTCTGACGAATTCAGACTCAGAAACGTAAACAAATTTAACACAGCATAACTACATATCGGTTTATTCTGCCACACCTGCTATCAGCCAATTGTGCAGAAAGCTAACAATAGGACAGGGAATGAATTAGAATTACCCACAGTCGTAAGACGTTGTAAGACAATGCAAAAAGGAGATTAAAGGAGTAAAGATGTATGATATTATGAATATGCCATTACAGTCACTTTTAGCCTTATCATTTAAGATACCCGATTGTCAGTTTTGTATGTTTCCATTACCCAATTTATTGAATATACTAAATAATTTTTTTATAAAACAACTCTTGTTGAAAAAATATACTCTTTTCTTGATCGGGTTTATTTTCTCCGAAAGTCCTTCTGAAACAGCATAATAAGAATTAACCACATCCAAATGTGTTTGTACTACAAAGTCTGGAAAGGCAATTTTTCAGAGAAATTTAATTTCCGTTACCATTTAATTGGGAATTCTATTGAATATTGAAAAGTTATAGTGACTTCATATAGCAGACCTTTACCTACTTTCTAGCTAAATTCGAATATAAATAAATATAATGTCATTCTTTTTACTGGTTTAAGAAGATCATCCTCCGCTTACTGATATGAGTGTCAGGTTCCATCTGCTGAGTGCTAATCGAAGTTCATGTTTTGTACTAATTGATACTAATTATCTATCATGGTCTATCTGGAATCTTTTGAAAAATTATGATTTCTGGAAGTTTCCAAGTCATATGTCTTAATTTCCAAGCCAGTCACTGAAAGACTGACCTATTTGCGTATATTGGTCACCGAATCTGAAAAGCAAGAGACCTGGATTTCAATGCCTATTGTTGATTAACTCAATATTAAAACTGGTCTTTATAGGACTTTGTCACTAAGATGGGATAATTCGATGATAAACAATCACTGAAAAACTATTTGGATGGGAAAAGGATAGTTTCACCGTACCAAATTATGATTGAAGTTAGAAGAAATCACAGCTAATCAACTCTTAGTAAAGCTTAAAAATCTTTTGTTTAGTCTGATACACTCAATTTTATTCACTTTTAATGAATTGCATACTAATTTAAAAAGCGACCAAACTTTAGTCATTTAAAAACACTGTTTTCAAGACACATAACTTTAATACGATTTCCTGTTATAATCTTGCGCATATTCACATCATGGTTACTATTTGGTGTGACCAAAGTTTCATTTGACTATGAGTAACAGAATACTTCGTCATTAGTTTGCATACACACTGAACTATTGAAGAACGACCATAATAATGAAGCATGGAAATTATGTAATTTATGAATAGTTCGTTGACACAACTCCAAAGAGATTCATTGATCCACATACCTTAGCTATTTCACGTAATGTCTTTTGAGAATCATCTTTCGCCAGAATATAATGTTTCACAGGTCTCATCTCCATGACTGACTGTAAAATACTGTGCATAACGAAATAACGTTTTATTAACCTTTTTTAAATGAAAGTTTGATTACCATAAGAAATAATGAAGCGAAAAAAAATTCTATACATTTTGAAGTGTAAACTTGGCACTGTTTAGCATAGTCACCAAGATCAGAGGGCTAACATTATGTCAGAAAATTTGTAAATCAATCTGAAGGCTTCCTAGAGTGTATTTCGTTCAAATAACTGTATACCGCTGATCCGTGTTCTGAGATTGGTTATCTGCTGTGAATGTATGTTTTTTTCTTCAGGCGTGTGAATCGTAAGCTAGCCCTGTTCATTTTTTTTTGCATTTTTATAATACTTTGAAATTAAACTTTTCGGTTGTGAGTACACTTTCACACGATGTTTTGAACAAAAGAATATCAAAAAGAGTCTGTAAAATGATATGAAGTTCACTCCGTCACAGTTTCGTATCAGTTGGAAACACCCTATCGAAAATGAATTCAATGAGTTTATGGGATTATACTGGAACGTTGACTACCGAGTAATGAAAGATAAAGTACTGCCTACTTAGGTATTTTCAGTCTTAGCTAGTGCAGAAAATTACCAACAATCTTAATGTCTTATCTCAATTAAAGCGGTTCGAAACTAGGTTACAACTATAATATACATGCGTTTTCTTAGGTCACAGGAACAAGATAGCAAAATTAGTTATTAGAATGTGTCAGATGCTAGGGAGACCGGAACTTAAGAGCTGCAAAAGTTAATAAAAATAGATAATGGTCACTACAGTTTGTTTTGAATCATATGCCATTAATTCAAACTTGAGGGGATTAAAAGTCAGTAAAATTAATCAACTAGTGGAAAAGATATCTTACTTAGCTAGCTGACTTATTAAAAATGATAATTATCTGATAGACTTTGAACGATTAAACAAAAAATTTTTGTCGAAAATCCAGGTGTACTAGCAGGACAAGGAATGGAGAATGCACAAAAAATAATCAGTAATTTTATTTAAGATCTTTAGTCATGTTTTTGCTGTGAAACTGAATCTTCTTTAAGAAAAAATATGCAGGAATGTAAAATGAAGTTTGTCAATAAAGCAAAGTATCTCATAGATGTATGATTCGTGAAAATGCTTTATATTTAAGTAACTCAGTAACCAAAACTCAATGAAATGGTTATGCATTACATGATGTATGCTAAGTCAAGAAGAATTCGGTCCATTTATTATTCTGAAAGATTTTAGAATCTTATCACGCATAAATCAGCATTGATTTCTATCATGATTTGTACCGTTTCGCATTTTGCATATCCCCAAAATGCAGAGGACAGCATGTTAACCTAGATGAAGTACATCTTAACCCTGAACGAGAAAAGACAACTTCCTCCTGCATTGACTGACTGTCTGGATAGACAAATGCAGATACCCAGTTGTGGGAGACTCAACACACCATCAGTTGACTGAAATAGTCTGACAATACAAGCATCAAGTAATTTGTTTGACCACATGTTAATGGAAACATTAATTTCTTTTTAGTCTACTTATTAGAAATTTCGCACAGTGAAACAGCATCATTTACTGGATCCATTAAATGACATTTCTAATAAACAGACCAAAATAAAATTACTGTCTACTACAGTGCCCGAGTTTTACTCCTATGTTAATGAAACATTAACTTCTTCGGTTCTTATACAGCACACCAGAGTAACAACCCAATACGATTTTTAGCACGCTTCGTCAGTTCTAGACTTAGCATTCTGTCACACAGATGATGAGAGCTTCATTCAGCACCTAGCGGATGAAGTAATTATGCTTTGATCATCTTCAGATTAATAGCGCCCGTGTTGTGTCAGGATGAAACCCCAATTAGACCTGATGTGTAAAACCTGGACATGGACAGTCAAACCAGAAGACCTAGTTGAGGATCCATAGTGCTCCTTCAAACAGTTGTACACTCGATAGATTCAACCGTCTATTCTATGGACTGTCTCCAAAGAATGAAAATGATGTCTACTATGGGTAAATTACAAAATCTGAAGTCTCCTACAATGGAAGAAAACTTGTTGAAGTATTGTCTCCAGATGAAGTGTTACAAAGTTGCCCGGATTAAATGTATCAGAACAACTCACTGGTTCTTGAAATGCTGTACACCCAGTTCACAGCAAAACTTACCAAAAGGCTTTACTCCTATATAGACTATGGAAGCTATAAGTATCGTGGTATTGCCGCTTTAACTGAAAATACAGAAACTAACCAGGCGGTTCAAGAGGATAACGAAAAATCACAGATTGACACGATATTTTGACGAGATCTTTACAGAAGAAACTATAATTTAACCAGCTTCAGCAGTAGGAGCGTTGACTTCCAATAGTATAGACTTTATGGACATCCATTGAAATGATATATCTAGGGCAAGAAGTGCTCTAAATATGGAAAAAACAATGGGACCGGATAAGCTACACCAAGGCTGCTCAGACAGCTAGGTTTTGACAAGATACCTCACTCTTGGCTGCTCATGAAAGTGGAATGTTCCGGAATGACAGGCAACCTAATTTTATGGATCAGAGAGTTCCTTGTAGGTGCGACACTAGGAGTAAGCTTTAATTTCAAAAATCCTTCTTGGAATTTAGTAGTGAGTAGAGTGCTAAAAGACATAATTCTATGTTCCATGTTATTTCTTCTGTACATAAATGGACTGCTAATCGTCAAAAAACTCGCGTGATACTTTACGCTGAAATAAGAATGTGACAAGATATAAGGCGTGTCGATGACATGCGCACTTCAGACATATCTAAACAGTTTGTGAACCTGATTAGAGAAACAGTTGATGTGAGTTGATGTCTGTCAATTCAGGTACGTGTGTAACCATGTACATGGTGTGGTGCAGACTGCAACACCTGCAATATTGGTTAGACACCTTTATTTTTAAACTCACACTAACCTAGGAGTCATAGTAAGTCATGATTTGAAGACCAAAGTGCACTGTCGATTGATCATGGCTCAGAATTTTAGGACACATTGATTATTTCACAGAACCTTTACTAGGATCGTTGGTTACATGTTCACCTTTTCATATACGGCCTTAGTTAGAGTCCAACTAGAAAACAGTACTTAAGTGGTAATCCTTGTCTAAAAGGTAGCTCAGACTTTCTATTAAGAGTTCAAAAGACAACCACTCCTATTATCCTTGTGATGATTGACCTGATGTACGACTTCAGGACCTGGACCTCTTTTTGTTATAGTATTGCAGATAGAGAGGGGATTTATTCTTATTATGCAGGATTTAAAGAAATAGGTTTGGACCTGACCTATCTTCCCTTTTCCTACTCACTAAGTTCGAACACCCCAGACTACATAGCAGAAGAATACAAATGTCAAGGATGAAGAACTGAAGTTTAAGCTTCTATTTTTAATCCACAAATGTGGATCTGAGGTTTTACTCACAAAAAGAATTAAGTTAAATTTGAGGTGCAAAATCACAGGACAAATAAAACACCGTCTAATATGATTTGGAATCTTATCACAACAAATGCACTTCTGCTCGAGGCTCTATTTTGATTTGCCGTTCTGTCTGTCAGTCAGAAGTTTAGATGAGTACAATTCTAACATGACAAGTAAAGTTCTCTCATAATATCCAAACGCTTAGAACCATTGATTTCCTAATATCCGTGTAGTTCGAACAAGTTATTGATTGAACACTATGTACTTGCGTTTATTTTATTCCGTGCATCTTTTATTCTCAGAGTTATAATAACTTACAACTCATCAATTTTATCTTCATGAGTTCTTCTGTGTGGACTGATGGTAAGCCATAAGCTGGTCAGTCCAGTCAATGTCAGAGCAATCGATAAGCATTCATGCGACAGCCACTTTTCCATATAACAGTTTCTTATGTTATCAAGCATTTTGGTAAATTTTATGATTATGTTTAGTGCAATTTATCGCATATGGTTTAGAGAAGCTAACGTTTTCCAGAAGAGGCTTCAGGAGATTTGGAACTGCTTCTGCTTTAATGTAAGATTAAAATTTGGGTACTTTAGTAGAATATAGCTCCATTTCAGCTGATTTATTAGACATATCTCACAGTGAAACAACACTGTTATTTCTCACTTAGTTTGTTCGAAGGAACAGGTGGCCAGATGAAACACGTAAAATATAGTTCAATAATAAAACTGTTTCATTTTGTAGAGTATCCTACAAACAAAGTAACATGCAGTTATACACCTCAACAATACCAAGTTTTGCTCTTACATTGGCTTAGAACCTCTTTTGTCGATAAAACACCTCAGTTCATCACGAGATATTAGAGAAATTATGACGAAAAGAACACGATTTCAAGAATTACAACAGTAAAAACAGTAGGGCATTCTCAGGATTCAGTGTATGCAAAGTTGCACTTACTCTGGCTGCTGCAAGTGACTTTTAACGACATTAATTATTGGCCGATTTCAACTTTGATGCTACCTCAAGAGTTGAACAAGCTAGGCCTCCTTTCCAGTCTGTCACTCGCTATTCAAATAAGGGGAGAAACATTCCTGTATTTCATAAAATACTTCATTTGGTTGCTGTTTTACTAGATACAGGGGATAAACATTGACCACTGTGAGATCATTCATAGTCTATGTAGTGTGTACAACTGATAATGACGTTGGATATAATCACTTATAAGCTTATATTACCGGGTAAATCATTGTAAATACATTCTCTTTTTGAAAAAACCAAGCTTAGCCGATGGAAACACTACCGGTAAGTAATAATTTCGAGAGTATCTTTTAGTTCTTTTTATTGGATTAGGATGAAAAAAGGTTCAGGATGGTCAGACCAAGACCTGGCACCAGTTCATGAAGTATTTTACTATTGGTCTGAGCCGTGTGGTTCTATGTAGACTGCCTGGTTGGGGTCCTCGAGAGGAAACAAATCAGTGGTTGAGGACTCTTGGTGATATGGGCTGCAAGCCGGCTACAATAGCGGGGATGTATTTACCGCCTGACATCTTCTAAAGCTTTAATATTTGCACTATCCTTTATCTTTAGATTGTTTATTCTGTCACACTACATTATCTTTTTTGACATCGCTCTTTTTCCATCTACCTGTTCTTGTGTATTGCTGTGAAGTGTGGCAACTTGAGCAAATGCACCTACGTCCGGGGATGCACGTTGATTTTGTCAATGTCAGTCATTCAGCCAAAGAACTGTAATTATGGTTGTTTGAATTTGTATATTGCATTAACTGCCCCATGTTTCTAGTGAATTAGCATTTTTAAGCCTTTAAATGCCTTTAAACTGGGTAGGGAGCCTAGATCCCTAAAATAAATGACATTAGAACAACTTCCGGTGCATTCATATATTTTGTAATGCTTTCGGAGAACCGCATGTAATATATATAGATGTTACTTATGAGCTTTGTCACAGATTTCTGAAGGTTTCTGACTACTTTCTGGACACGATAAAATTCATGATGTATAATTTACACTACCGACAAATAGTTAGATATCTGGTCGTTAAAAATTTGTCGGCGAAATCGGGTACTCAAATTTCATTTCTTAATCCTCTGATGATAGTCTTAACGCTGCCTTAAATGTAGTTTAAATAGCATTTGAATCCCAAATAGTTTTTAGCTAGGCAGTAGTCTTGATTAGTTTGAAAAATCCAGACTGATTAGTCTTTAGTTCAGCTACTATTTACCCTCTTAACTGAAACTTAGTAGAACAGTGGCATAAAGACCGGTTCTGCAAATCTTGACTTTTCTTGAGCGAACTTACAAAAGTTATACATCAGACACTGACCTCAGAATACTTTACTTGGACTGCCGAAAGTAGTTTGGAATAGGTGATAAATGTTAAGTTCAGAAAATTCTAACAAATCGAGCGAAATCCTACTCACTAACTTTGATAGGCCTGTTCTGCACTGAGCTTTGAGAACCACTAGTTTACTTTATATCATTTTGACTTCACGTACTTAAACTTTTTGATCTTACTTGTGCTTTAGCAGAGAGGCAGACCAATAAGCAAAAAAGCTTATGACATGACTAAGAAATTCATCTGCTCCAGGTGTGATAACGTATTTTATATTGAATTCTTAAAAAATACGTGACAATCTAAATATAAATAACTGTCAAGGCTATAACGCAAAAACACACCTTCGTATCTAAAACAATATAGAATTTTTCCAATATATAGAAAGTCCAATAACTTTATTGCAAAACTGCATGATGATACCTGGTTAAATCACGTAAGTGTATTGTAGGTACAATGTTATGTCCATCACCTGGGAATTGTAGAAATGGTTCATTATTCCATGCCGCCTTTAATTAATAAAATGAATTGGATGAAATGAACAGTAAGAAGTAGGCATAAGCTTATCATTTGAATAAAATTCAGTATGTCTGTGATTAGGCGACACAAAGAGCGATTCTTAATTTGGTCGGGTGGTTGTATATTTTAAATAGAGAATTATAGTAAATCTTTGATGTTAAGGTTTAACATACTGATACTGAAGTTTTGGGTAGTGAGTACACTTGAGAATTCGTGGTTATACTCCTATTAACCATTTAAAAACCACTGTTACTTTAAGAACCTGCAGAAAACAAACGAGGTATTTACAAATTTGATACAAAAGTTGACGTTTTCTTATATAAAACATTAAACAGTCTCTAAAACAAATCTCCACCACAGTCACGCCCGAATTACACTAAGCATAACGGTCTAACGCTAACATGGACTCATTCTACATTGGATTGTTTATTTGATTTAGCACACAGTAACACACTTTAATTTAATGGATGACGTTTTGAACAGGTTATATGGCTCATATTCATATCGAAGTAATCTTACAACTTCCAAACTCCCTTTATGTAGTCCAACAATTTATTCACTTATTTTAATGGTAGTAAAACTTACCAGATATCTGCAATATGCGATGAGTAATTGTTGTTACACGTGTTAGGTGTGGATTCAATGAACAAAGATTCTGTGATCGATCTCTCCCTCCACCCAGTCATGTTGGATTTTAGAATTGTCACTTTATTCCACTCTACAGTGTGCTTATGGGCCAGTGCATGCAGAGTGATATCTGAGTTTTTCTCTAAATTACTTAGTAGGGTCTACCATTGTATTTTTGCCAGATTTCTGCGTTCTGTTATTCAGACTGATTCACATCGGCTGCTTTGATTTATTTACTTGACCTCACAATCATTACATGGTATTTGATAGACTAGGTTGTATTTTCCAACTGGTTGTACTGCACCTTTCAGCCTACAAAGTTTCTCTCTGAGCAAGCTTTTGAGTTTAGATGCCACCCTAATCCCAGGATTGTTAAGAATTCCATATAAATTTTCCGATGTGCCTTATTTATATGGCAACGCCAAAGAGAATTTGAATTTCCACTTAGGAATGTTACCATCATCATTAACATTACTACTCCATGTTATCAGTCCGTACAAATTTTTTAATAAATTCCGGAGGGTAGTTATTCAGAAGTAGTGTTGCTTTGATGTGTTTTGCTTCTTATTTAGGTTTCCTGACTTACTAGTCAAACTCTTAGCCCGATTACTTAGACATTTTATCAAGCCTGTCTTGACAGATGTAGGGTAAGATGATGTGAAATCTAAGCGTTTATTCGAATGTGTTGGTTTCCTATCAACACTTGTATCTGGGTTTCCGTCTTCTCTCCTCTTAATTTTGCAGTCCAGAGTAGGTAATTCTCCTTCTTCATTTTCTAATTCATAAGTGAATTGGACTGCATCTACCATCTAGTTAGTATGTGCAAAAAAAACTTTTGGTGTGTTCTGATTTCAACACAGTAAATGTGTCATCCATATATCACCACCATGCTTTTGGGGTGAGTTGGAATGCTCCTATTCCCTTTTGTTGCAAACTGTTCATAAATATGGCTGCTGCGATCAAGGATATTGGAGATCCAATCGCTAATCCTTTTGTTTGTCTGTATTTCTTGTCTTGAAATTTGAAGACTGTGGAAGTTAAGCATAATTTCTTCAACTGGCACTCTAGTTCTATCACTGGGTTCATGGTTAGTTGTTAGTTTACCTCTGACTGCCTCAAGTGTCATATTAATTGGTACGTTTCTGTAGAGGCTCGTCGCATCAAGAGATTATCCAGTATCCAAATGAAATTGAACGACTGAAGAAGATAGTAACCAGAAAAGACTATGGATTCTAGCTGAGGCATCCAATAAAGACAAAGCAGCTGTTTTCAACAAACCCAGGAAGACTTGAACTGGAAAGTTCAACAAACTAATGGAAGATAAGTTCTCCATAATGAATGATGAAGCTAAAAATCAGACACCATCACTTGAGCAATCTGTCAGCTAGAAAACTAGGCTCAACTGAAGAAAACTTTCTCGAGAAAGACTGAACATCATAGTTACATTAGGTCAACTCAAACCTGAAGATGTTATACCCATCACAGAAGTAGTATTACCCTCCATTTGATGATCATGAGTGTGTGCCTGTACTGGCCATATTCTACTTTGCGCTCTCATGATCATCGCGATAACTACTCTTTGCACCTGTTTAACACAAATGCATGGAGAAATCTTCATTATAAAAAATCAATCCCATACCTTGAAGAAATAATGAAGGACATTTTCCATCTCTCCATATGTGACACCACTTGCGATCACATATGTAAGCAGCTTCAGTTTGTTCTAATAAAAGAAGTATGGTAATGATACTACTGCATATTACTGTTTTTCCTTGCTGCACAACAGATTTCTCAGCTAATATATGTTCTTTGTAATTAGAATGAGCCTTTCTTCTTAAGTAATCATCGTCAGTAAATGGCATTTCAGGATCGTTCTAGGATGAAGACGGTAATTTTATTTTATGATATTCATGATTTGGAAACTCACTGGATCTGGAAATGAACTTTTTGCCCATGTAAGCACTGAAGATATGAGAATAAATATTTTCTGTGCTGTAAAGTTTTCAAGATTATCATGAAGTCTGTCCAACATCCATAAAGCATCATCAATGACCGCATGATCATCTTTGATGTTGTAAATAATATAATCGCATTCCATAACTTTTTCACATAATTTTGTCGTTTTTCATCCTGTTAATTTTGAATGATGTAAAACAAATGAAAAATTATTCCTTTGCTTTGAGGGTATAACTCTGAGTATTCTTTACTTATTATAAACTATTGGGCTTAAAAAGAGGTGACGTATCCAGGTTGCATTTCACTGGAAAGTAATCATATATTAGGTTTTCAGTTGTTGACCATCTAAAGCGATCACTAGAATAAAACGAGGATGAATTGTTATACACTCTTACCCTGGTGAATAGAAAACCGGTGATAATATCCAATTTGGTGTACATTAAACTCGTTGACTAGATTGATACTAGAGCAGACTGCTGACCTACGACTGATTCCCTGTGGTGTATCCTTTAGTTTACTCGAAAAATTTGGAAACAGTTAGTCCCTTTTACGAAGTTCGATAGCGTAATTAGATGACAAAGTTTATATAAGCAATGTGTTTGTGGTCACACATACATAGGGAGGAGTAATCGAGTCATGCAGTTGAAGGTGGAAGAACGTGCCTAAATGGCTTCAAAAACAAATGGAGTGTGAAACAGTGATAAACGCTGGTGGGAGACCCTCTTCGTCTATAGCCAAACATTTCATAGAAACAGGTCACAAAGTTAATGCTCAAACGGCTCCCAAAGTTTTATACAGAAACAATCAGGTACGTATTCTGAGATTTGCGGAAGCCATAGCCTGGTTAACTAGTTCACTAGTTACTAGCTGGTCCTAAGCCCCGGTAAAAGGAAGGGTTGGGCATAGGGATAGCAACCCTACCCCGGAAAACAAATCCAACCGCTAAACAAACTTCAAAGCACAAATGAAATATAAAAAATAATAACGAAATTATTCCTTGCTCAAATCAAAGAGACGAAATGACGCCGGTTGGTGAAAGCCTTCGGCAAGCCAATTGGCCGATGTGTCTTCTCACCCTCGATGAAAGCGAAAGTAAACGTGGGAATATGGAATGTCCGCACCATGTCTGAACCCAGCAAGGCAGCCCAGATTGCAAACGATATGAGAAGGTATCACAGTGAAGTGCTAGGAATTCGCGAAAGCAGGTGGAATGGAAGTGGACTCTCCAAACTGTCAACTGGACAGTCAATAATCTGTTCCGGTCATCCAGACGACAACCACACGGAGAGGGTGGCTATCATGATGTCCGCTTGAAGAGCATCGAAGGCTCTCTCTCATGCAGTGGGAACCAATCTCCTCCAGGATCATTACAGCAAGGTTCAGCTCAAAAGGAAGGAAGGCCACAGTCATACGATGCTACACACCTACAAATAATGCAGAGCAAGAGAAAAAGGAGGAGTTCTACAGAAAACTGCAATCAACACTGGACAAGACCCCACTCCAGTTGGCGACATCAAAATCCTAATGGGCGACATGAATGCCAAACTGGGAGCGGACAACACAGGAAGAGAACAAACCATGGGCCGAGAAGCGCTCGGTGAGGTGATGAACGAGAATGGAGAATTGTTTGCAGAATTCTGTGCATTCAACGATTTGGTGATTGGAGTCAGGCAGTGTGTTCAAGCACAAGGATATCCACAAAGCGACATCGATTCGATTTCACCAGACATTAGGACACACTAAAAATCAGATCGACTTCATCTCAATGGGAAGGAGGTTGAGACGCAGCCTACTTGACACAAGGTCACATCACGAAGGGGAGCAGATGTAGGTTCGGACCACTATCTAGTGCAAGGAACCTTCCAAATCAAGTTGAAAACCTTCAAGGAAGTTGGTGATAGGCGACCACAGTTCAAGCTCAACACCCGGAAACTGAAGGACGAAACTACAAAGGACATCTTCACGTCAGCCATCAAGACAAAATTGGAGATATCGAGGAACATCCCTGAAGAAACCTGTGTGGATGAGCACTGGAAGTCTTTGAAAGCTATGTGGGAAGAAATCTGCACAACCGTGTTAGGAAGGAAGAAGAAAGAAGATAAGGAATGGATCTGGAAGGACACATGGAAGCTGATAGATCAGGGAGAGGAGGATGGTGAAGCAGAAGACAAACCAGTGCGAGGATGAACGACGAGAAGAGGAACTGAACACATCCTATAAGACACTACACTGGACAGAGAAGTGAGGAAGACAAAAGACACTTCTACGAAACACTGGCAAGTGGAGCAGAACAGGCTGCAGGTAAGAGAGACCCGACAACATTGTATCAAATAACCGGAATGCTATGTGGGAGGAGATCAACGCAGACGAAACCAATAAAAGACGATGACGGAAATCTAATTACCAAAGAAGAGATACAAAGGAAACGATGGGCCGACCACTTCAATAAGCTCTTGAATCGACCACCAACACCAGCTGCACTTCGTCCAGAAATACCACCTGCAGAAAACAGAACTACAAGTGAACATAAATCCTCCAACAAAAGTGGAAGTCCTGAGCGCCATAAAGCTACTGAAATGTGGGAAAGCAGCAGGACCAGATGGGATCCCGCCAGAAGCACTGAGAGCAGACGCAGAGACAACAGCATCGGACATGCTCACACCACTATTGCAGAAGGTATGGAAGCCACGAAAGTTACCTGGCGATTGGACGAAAGGCTACCTTGTTAAGCTTCTGAAGATGGGAGACTTCAGTATTTGCAAGGACTGGCGTAGAATCACGCTCCTCTACACCCCAAGCAAAATATTATGCTGCATCATCCTGGAGAGACTAAAGGATGTGCTGGATTCAAAACTACGACCGGAACAGGCTGGCTGGATTCAAGAAGTACAAATCATTTGCGCACCAAATTGCAACGCTTCGCATCATCATAGAACAGAGTATAGAATGGAAGTCAACTGGATCTCTACCTCAACTTCATCGACTTTGAATAGGCTTTGGACAGTGTTGACCGTCAAGTAATTTGGCCATTGTTGCAACACTACAGAATACCACAAACCTTTATCAATCTGATTCAAAAACTATATGATTATGTTACATGCCAAGTGATTGACAATTGTAAGCTCAGTGATCCCTTTGAAGTGAAGACAGGGAGGAGTAAAACAAGGCTGTCTACTATCACCAGTGATATTCCTGATTGTGGTGGACTGGATCATGCAACAAACAGTGAGGAGCGAGAAGAGGAGGATACGCTGGCTGGCCCGCGGAAAAGAACCTAGAAGATCTGGATTTCACCGATGACTTGTGTCTAATGTAACATGAACTTGAAGATCTACAGACGAAAACTAACAAGTTGACAGAGGAAACAGGGCAGTGAAGACGGGACTTCAAGTCAACGTAGAGAAGACAGAGGTGATGAAGATACCCAATCAACACTACCACCACCACCACCACCAACAACAACAACAACAACAAGCTCCAATCACCATGAATGGGAGAAACTTCAAGGAAGTAACCTCCTTCACCTATCTAGGAAGCACTGTTTCAACTACAGGCGGTGGTGGCACAGACGAGGACGTCGAAACCTGCCAGGATTGGAAAAGCAAGACATGCCTTCGTTCATTAACCTGAAACCAGTGTGGAGATCTACTGCACTCCACTCAACATAAAGCGTGAACAACATCCGGATTTTCAACACCAACGTCAGTCAAGTCAGTGCTTCTGTATGGTTCAGAGACTTGGCGCGTTACGAAAGGGATTTCCAATAAACTACAGACATTCATCAGCAACTGCCTACGCTGGCTCGTTACTGGAGCTCAGATGACCAGAATAATAAGAATAAGCCACAGGGAATTCTGGCTGGCTTGCTGGCAACGAACCAACCAGGAACCTATCACTCAACAAATATGTACTGGAAGGAAGTGGAGATGGATTGGGCGTACACTGATAAGGTCGAGTGGGTAGATCATGCATCAGGCCCTCGAGTGGAACTTCGATGGGAAACGACGAGTTGAGTGTGTGAGGGTGACATGGATGAGCTCATGCAGGAGGAAATGAGAGGTTGTGGGCTGTCATGGAGGCAGGTTCAAAAGTTTGCAGAGAAGAGAGTGGAACGGAGACGTGCTACTGAAGCTCTATGTTCCAGTAGAAACCCAAGGGATAAATAAATAATAATAATAATAGGCATACACAAATTTAAACCACCTTTATGTGTACAAAAACAGTTTGTTACTACACTACAACTACCTTGGTAAGCTTTGTTTTCTTACCAAGATTAGGATCAACTATGTCACTTCCTGTTTGTCCTCATCTTTCTTAATTTTAATGCCCTATTGTGTTAATTGTTGTACTTATCCCCCCTCCCAGTCCTCAGTTTAATATATATTGGATTTACAAGTGAATGTGTGATCAGATTGTTCGAAATGTATTGCTCAAATACATCATATTGCTCAGATTAACTTCGTCTTCTAATTACTCGGAAAAGTCTTATATACATGTCACGCTCTATTTCAAGACATTTGAAAGCGATTAACTGTAACTGCCGCTAAAAATAATAACATAAACCTATAACAACTACAATACAATCTTGCACTGCACATTGATCTTCCAAAACGAAACCCACAAAATTCTCATTAAATATTTAGTCTTGATCAAGATCAAACAAATATGCTGAAAAAATGGTCATAGATTCAGTGATCATACAGCAAAACACTTTAAGCATTTTAATATGGCTCAGTGTGAATTATTCAAGTGGCATATCAGGGTGTGGGTATCAAATTGAAAGGTTTTGTGCTTGCGTTACCTCTATTCAGTAGAGGGTACACAAACCTTCATGTCACTATCAGGACTAAATTCCTCAGATAAGTCCACAAAAACCGTTTAAGAAAATGGTGAACTGAATATATACTAGCACACATTTAGAAAAAATAGTGGAGTCTGCAGTAACCAATGCTGAATGACTTTTTGTCTCGTACACTCCTAAGTAATGATTTAAACACTTAGGCAATTACACCTAACTTTGTGCTGATAATGGTCATTTGTCTATTTTTGTCAACACAACAGCACACAAAGCACTGCTGTCTGAGAAATGTATTGAATAATGGATATGAATAGTGAAGTGAGCAGTCTCTACACATTGTTGTAATAGCTTTCGCATGGTAGATGAAGCTTTGAAAAATATAGAATCACCATCTTCCTTCAAATCAGTTGTCTAGCTAGGATTTGATGTAGAAGGGGGACCATTTTAGTAGGTGGTAGATTATGGTTCCAATGCATTTCTAGCAATACTAATAAGACCAGCTAAGATCCGTGGCAATATGTTCACCGCCCTATATACGACGCTGATTGATTCAAGCTCAAACACTTTGTATATGCGACTGGCCATCGCCCCAAAAGTGGTGTAGACCTTATGATGTGAATTCACAGGACAGTCGATCATATGATTCTTATCATGATCAGCCCAACTTTCATTGCAACGCACTGCAAGCATTGCTTGCTTCGCTTTCGATGTTCATTATAACAACTAAATATCCAACTCCTCAACTTTTAACCATTTTGTGTTCTAACCTTATGCTTGCATTTTTCTAATCATCCGTAAATGCGCTGTGGATCCTAAAAGTTATCAAGCTTTTTTGTCTACTTATAGGTCATCTCTGGCAAGCGATACTAGGCTTTAAGAACGCGGCCAGCACTCATTTTTGGTGTAGTTTGCAAGATGGACAAAGACCCTAAAATCATTTAGTGGTGCACCTAGGGGAGCTAAATATCTTCTTCAAAAAAATCAAACTTTTTCCTGAGTTGTTCGAAGTGAGGAAGTAATTAAAAAAGGCAAATTAACCCATATTTATAATTTTATACGTAATATATTATCTTTCTTCAACGACAATCTGGGAGAAATAGGTTTTTTCACCAACCAGTGAAGGTGCTTTTCGTTACTTTTTTTAATTCTTGTAGTTAATTGAAACGAAAGATACATTTATATCAATGATGGAAATTATCATCATAAGAATAACAAAGTTCAGCAAAATCTGAACGTCACGATTAGTTACACAAGTTGACATATGTGTACGTAGATATAAGTAGGTACTTATGTCTGAAACTCTGATAAACGCTGCTACAGTAACACCTAATGTGAAACATCATTAATTTGAGCATAGAGAATCATTTATTTTGCAACTCAAGCGCAAAGTTCTTATGGCTGCGTCCTTGATTTCCATGTCGATATCAACAACCCAGTGAAAATTTTCGCGGGGAAACTCGGGGCCAGTTTTCAAACACGGAGCAAATCGAGGAGAAACATGGAGGTTAAAGACTCGGGGCAAATCTCGAAGAAATTTCGTGAAATCCGGCGTCTTGCCCCGAGTTTTTATTGCAATCTGAAACAGGCTTTCTTGTTTTGCCCAGCGTAAATTTTAACTAAGACCTTGATCCAGTTAAAGCCTGTCCCTATAAACCTTTTCAGACAACGCTATAAGGATTCGGATTATTCACCATAATTATATTGTTACTTTATATATGGAAAGAAATCATTGCTTATAGTCGTGGTAAGTCATGTTTTTGTACGCTTTGTACGTTTTTAATAATTATGAAAGACATTAACAGTACCATTGTTATGACTTTTACGAATCCTGGTACTTCTGTTGTCCCCTCATCTATAGTTCCATAAATTGAATACGTTGGAAGATTTGGAATTTTCTTTAGGTTGTCCCTGTCTTCTTCTTCCATAGCTTCTTCCTCTTCAGCTTTGGAAGATGTTCCTACTGGCGATTGAGACAGGAACTTAAAAATAAATTATTCTTCACTGGGCTTACATGGGCTATGTGAAGCTGATCATATCTGTTGACATTCGCTATGAAGACTTTAGAACGCGGTGCGTTTTCCATTTTTTTTTGAAAGTTTGCGGAGTAGCTGTCGGCATAGCGGGGGCTTATCAGACTTTTCAATATCCAATATCTCATTTAAATGCCAACTGACTACTTCGTGTAGTTTTACTAAATAATAAGGATTTTTCATGCTTCTGAAGTGTCCGTATGCGTAATATCTAGTCTCGATAACGCTACTAGAAGGTGAAGATTACGTGAAAAAAGTAATATATTTGCGTAATACGAGTGAATAATCTGATCACGCATTTACTTGTCAAGTCAATTTATATATGAAAATGAAAGGAAACTCAAAGATGAAATATAACGAATGTGAAAAGGTTGTGACACTGTTTTTGGTAATGTAGTCACCAAGTTTCACAACCTTTTCATATTTATTATTTTTGACTTGGATCTTTCTTTCACTTTCATATTTAGACTGACTTAACAAGTAAATGTGTGATCAGATTATACGAATTCTACTGCGCAAATTCATCACGTTTTTCAGATAATCTTCTAATAGCGTTATCAAAATCTATTAAAGGGACTAATTGTTTCTAATATCTAGTCACTGAACCGCAAAAGATTCAATAAGCGTGGTGAACCATTGTTTCACTCCATGGGCAATGCATAAATTATCTGGAAACCACTGTAATTTTAAGACAATGCACGGAAAAGACTACATGTCTCGAAATTTGACGTCTGATAGCTGGACATTTGATTATGGTGTCATAGGAACAGAGGTTAAATAATGGTAGGGTTCCAGCATCCAACATAGATAATGCTAGCATCGGAAACTGATGGCTTTTTGTCTCTTAAGTTCTACTCTTGGGGATCGTTTCGTGTCGTTTGGTCTGCTGCTGCAGTGGACGAGAAAGCCTCTTCTTTTTACTGCTTTTAGCCCCAGTAAAATTAGTTTTTTGTAGGTTGCTAATCGTACTTCGTAGATTGGTTAGGTAGCGACTGGTTGCTGGGACGTTTTGGATCATGATAAGCGATATGCAGTATACGTCTAACGAACTGAAATATCCAGCTAATTTCATCGCACCCAATTCCAGTTTTCTTGTGGTTTCTGACACGGTGAATTCTTTTATCTGCCTGTTGTATATTTAGTGAAGCCGTTAAACGGCTGAGTATCTGTTAATTTTATCAAGAGATACGTGGCTTATACTCAGACTACGTTGTAGGTGGGATCTTCAAATGCTGTTCCTGTGAACTGTTGTTCAGACTGGTCGTTGGAAAAAAATATGGATTATGGAGATAACCACATAAGCCGAAGTTAGATTGCAGCTCTTGGTCATACTAAATTTCTCCCTAGCAAATGTTGATATAAATCGAAGCTTTCTCGTGGCATACTTCAGTTATCACGTCCATTTAAGTGTCTCATTAATGCACCTAAAAAGTGCAGTTCAACCCATCAAGTGATACAGTGTGTCTGTGTAAAGATCTTGGTGTTTACTCGGGGAAATAGTTAACTGCAACCAAGTGGAGTGGATTCAGTATTTTGGGATCAATAATTTTGTTTGACTTCGGTGGCAAGCTTAGGCAACAAGCAGGCCCCAGAATTTATGCACCTAGATTAGCGGTGACACGATAGCCCCAAGTCGACGGTGTTATCTGGCCGAAGACATCGTCGCATAAATAGTTAGTTTACTTCATTTGCTACCGTAATTTACTGCATGCCCCTGAGTAGGTACCATTAATTCTTTCATACTGGTGCCCCTGTGGAAACCAAATGTTGTTAGTCATGACGTTAATTCCACCTTCCTGCCTCACAACTAAAGGGGTGTGGCATTCATAGTGCTCAGTCAGCTTAGCTGCAGAACTGGAATAAGAAACGGGAAAATATGACACAGTTGTGAAAGTAAACTTCTCTAAATGTGTCAGATGCAACTGTTTTCGAGGAAAATGACAAGTTGTGAACTCCCTACAATGGCATTCTCATGACTGCAGATCAACTTCAACTGTCTGGCCGTTCCCTACGAAAAAAGTCAGTCACAGCTCCCATATTACACATGCGTGTTTCTTCCTCTGAAATCCTTGATAGTCTCGCAGGCTGTGAAAGGTATCAGGGGACCAAGTGGACGAACAAACCTCTTTGGGTGGTCAGGTTTGTAGCATTTCATCTGCACGGTAGCAGCTTCCGTATTCTCTCTGTAAGATCTTCGTGGTTTCCAGCTGTAAACTTTAAGGATACTCCTGTGCAGGACATCTGATCTCTGTATATACTTCTTCATTTGTCTACGTGAACTTTCAACCCGACAGTTGGTGTTGTTCTTAAGAGTTAGAACGTGCTCAAAAAATGCTACCCTAAATACTCTTGCTGTCCAGCCACTACTGGCTTAGGCATTCAACTGCTTTTCAGCCTAATCTGCTGATGATTCTGTAGTGCTGATGGAACCTGAAAAAACATAGACATTACCTTTCGGTGTATTTGGCTGATACTGAAGGACGTAAGGAATCCATGACTTTCGCATTCTTCGTCTGAGAGCTGTGCTTTTTCAACTTGCCTTTCTGGACAGGGCAAGTCACGCGCGGAACGCAGGAAGCATTGTACTCTTTCTACAGTGTGTTGATCGCACGACCGATATTTTTATCCGTGCACAATGCCTTTTAAAAGCCTTGGTTTATTTCTCGTAAACAGTCCAGTATCTGCACAGCATCTCTTCTGCATTATTTCTACACAAAATAAACGAAGTGGACAGCGGAAGTATTGGCCTCAGGCTTTGTTCTTACCCATGTGATACACTTAAGGATTATATACAAGTCCCGGTTGTTGTCGTTAATGCGAAGACAATACTTCCAGCTCTTCATCTTGTAAATTTGCGAATAACTATCCTGCTGCTATCCTCTATCCTAATGACATGCAACACGTTTGTCTTCTGCAGAATGAACAGGTGGGCGTTTAGGGTACCTGCCCCTAACGAATATCTAATTTACACATGAATTTATACATATCTGTAAAAATGATGCGTGACAGTACATTATTATTATTGAATGAAGACCTCTGAGGGAACAGCCAGTGTTACTTCTTTGAGAATAAACTTGTTGGGCCTCTTCCCCTTCTTGTTTGCATGATGATCTTACATATTCGCTAAGCTCGATTTTCATTTCTGTCTGAAAACAGAAATTCATCCTGTGACTGAACGGGCATTATTAGTGCGTAATGTGAAGTCTTCCTTTTAGTCTGGGGATCGCCACTACCTGTGATGAAGAAGAGGCGGTAAACAACATTATCAACGGTTTTTCTCCCGTAAATGCAACGTACCCGTAAAAATGATTTGCACCCGTGAATTCAGAAATAAATATTATTGTTATCTCTTTCCTTGTCTGTGGAAGCACCGAAGGACGCTCAGGACCAAAGTTACCGGTTTCAAACAGTTGAAAAAATCGGTATATATCTAAGTCGTTATACAGAGGCTTAGTCCTACCCTGGTCGTACTGTAAGCTGAATCGGTGTCGACTTCTTCCGGATATTTATGACACGACGGTATTTTCCCGTTTGAAGGAAGGTATACACCTAATAATTCCACTAATAAGTAAATGAATAAATGCTTCAGTCCCAAATTAAGGGTTTAACATGAGAGAAGCCAGTTTACAGACATCATCAAATTGATAACGGCAGAGAAATCTCCAGTAGTTGAGCCATCCTCAATGATACAGAAAGTACCGCATCAGGGTTCTTCATGAAATCAGAGGTGACTGTAGGTTATAAAAAGAACAGAAAAATATCACTTCACGGTAAATACAGATTGTTTATGAGTTTCAGTCTTCTCCACTCGCCATTCACAATAAAGTGATATCAAAATCGTACAATATTTGACGTCTGCGTTAGATGTGACCTAGATGGTTAACCTGGTGATACGGTCCCGTTTTTCGTCGGGCAGACGTTTGTTTTAACATCAGTTCACATGTTTATATTATCACTGACCAACAAAATCTCATTTCATTGATTTCAGGTAACAGTAAGTGCTGGCGTAACCGTATAATCCACGTGAGTGTATAGATCCTCGCATTTCCCACTCATAGTGCGACCTTACCCAGCAAAACAGACGTAATCAATCGGAATTAGTTGTTCCCTTACAAAGAAACAAACATCCGAAGGGCTATCATTCAATGGTGATGAAGTTTATCACACAAAATTCACATTGAAGCATACAAAACTATCAAGGAGGCTTGTTGACCGTTGATTGTCTTCTACAAAAACGGAGAAGTTTGTGTAAAGGAAAAATGATCTGAAAATCCCTCCCGATCACCCTTATTTGATTGTATTGACATTTATTTTAACATTTTTACTCTCGTTGTGGATGGTGTACCTTTGACCCTCGCCGGTGTAATGTTATTTGCTTGTTTAACTGTCTTATTTGACTTTACACTCGGTATTTGCCTTTGTATGCTTGAGACATTATGAGTGTTTCACTTTCCTATTATGTGACGCTGGACTGCTGATAAGGTGATGTTGTTTTACTGCGCACGACATTTTGTTTTGTTCAACTAACGGTTGTGCAGTGATTTGACTGTTTGTCTTTTGACTGTCTACTGCGATCGTTTGTTTGTTGATTTGATTCCTGTAGGCAGAGTTTTGATCCCTTTTGCCGGGAATATTCCTATTGACCGACAGGTACTTAACAGTTGTATTTTTTTAACCAGTTTTTACCGTGTAGTACGTATTTGTACCCGAGAACGTTTTGGACTGTATAGTTACCCAACGGCACTGTTGAGGTATTTTTGTAATTTGACATAACTTAATGTTACCTTGATAGTACCACAGATTTTGTTATGAATCTACTATTGAATTACTACAAACCGTGTTTTGATATTTCGATCCAACCTTTGACTGTGCGTCACTCGCGGAAGTTAGGAAGCTATACAGTAGAACGCAGGAACTAGTCAGATTCACGTCAGTTGGCACCGCCTAGCAATTTCCCGCGTTCAGGCCAAGATTATTGGATTCTGGCCGCTACAGTTTGTTTGCGAACACTTCTCACTTTGAGTCACTGAGTTTGTTTCTTGGACTTAGTTGTTCGTCCAAATTTCGCTGCCATTATGACCGTCCAGAAGCCATAGATCACCTACTGTAGTTGGGTTTT